GATTTTGAACATTTTTTATATGAAATAAAAATGCGCCTTTCGTCATAAATGTGACACCGTGTAAAATCTAAGGGTTGATTAACCAGCAAAATGTCTATCTTAGGTTTTACGATCTGTTCTAATATGAGAACTACCTTAACAAGACATTCATCACACAGGGCCTAGAACATGAGGAAAAGGTGATAGCTCGAAAAGAACAGAATCATTTTTTTAACTGGGACAGAAAAAACAATGAACCAAAAAATCTTTATTCAAATATAGACACTTGACTATGCTATTTCCTTGTGAACCTTATTCCATCAATAAATTTGTTTTCGACTAAAAATTAACTATTTTATGATTTTAAAACCATCCATCCTCTCTGCCGCACCCTGTATAATTACGAATTGTCATTGTTTTTGCGTGTTTCCGGTACCTCACGGGATTGTACATGTTTCCGGTTCTAACTACGAAACACCTTTGTGACGGTACTGCTTGTAATCAGCCTGTATAAGCACCTTTTGATACTGTGGATTATTTAACCTGGAGACATGGACGCCAGCAGGGAGGGGGGGCGGTGTCGATAAAATAATCTCAAAATACTCTTCGGGGTCTCGTAAAGCAAGGTTTAGACTTTAATTTGGTACTTGGCAACCTCAAAAATCATAACTTTGTTTGGAAGCCTTTTTTGTTTGAAATGATCCAAAAACCTGGTACACAAATCGTATTTATTCAAAAAAGGTTTAAACAAATCCGATTTGCGGGTATATTCAATGCTTAAAAATGTTTCGTTCTCCAAGTGCCTAAGTTGAAGCTAAAACCTTGCTCTACAAGACCTTGAAGAGTATTTTGAGATTAATTGATTTTGAAGCAGTTTCAAGCTTGTTTTTTAGTCCAACTTTTAGTTTTCGTAGACTGTACGATATCGCAGTTTTAATCCTGAGAGATTCACTAAAAGCTTTATTACTACAAAAAGAAAACAAAAAAGAGCAATATCACAGCGCTACTTAACATTGGTACCTATTAAAACATGGCAAGCAGAATCCAGGCCTGCCTGAACAGTTTAGACAATAAGAAAAGATTCTTCTAGCTTTTCTGTCGGCTTCTTTGCTAGACAATGTTTGCCTTAAAGTAAGTACTCACTCCCCAGTTGACGAGAAGGGCTAAGTACGTCTCTGCCCGAAATCATACCGCTCCAACAGAAAATCAAATCAGCTGATGCGCTACCGAGCGACGCAGGCAAACAAGGAAGGCAAAATGTTGCGTAAAAAGTCTAGGTATTGCATCCCGTCCAATCGATTTGGGAGAATAAATGGTCCAATGAGCATACCGTTCACCATGCCAGCCCAAACATTCACCGAAAACCTTTGTTGAAAATGTGCCCGACGGACAGCGTGCGGATTTTCAACTGACCAAACATGAGTGTTGTGAAAGTTATTCACCACGTAGATTCGTCTGTCACCAATATGCACTTCATGTTGCAACAACCACTCACAAAACCGCACTCTTGCTGGAAAATCGTCAGGTTGAAGGGCTTGTACACGTTGGACGTGAAACGGATACAGCCCCTCTTCACGCAGCGTTTGCCACACTTCAGTTTTTGATACTTGCACTTCTCTAGCCACGTCTCTAGTGCTTGTTGAGGGATTCTCGTCTACGCGATTACCTCTATACGCGTGACCGTAACCGTCGGTTGAAGGTTGCATACTGACCTGACACACTGACCCCGACCCAGTTCTGCCGTCGGGTTGAGACCTTGTACCAGTCGGGGATATCGTGGCGGGTCGCGGCTACAGGACGGTATACAGATATTTTTGATGTTGCAGAGCCCTTTATCTCGGTTCCCTTAAGACATTGGTGTATATGGTACTAAGAAAAATTGCGCATGTTTTCAAGATCTACACGTGTAAAGGAAAACCCCAACTTTGCGGACACCCTGTATAAGAAAATCAGATGGGCGATGATGAATCTCCGACACAAAAATAGCAGTTCCAAACTAGTTCGGAAATAGTTTTTCTGCGTATGCCTGGGGAAAGTACAGTTTAGAACTAGTTCCGAGCTATTCTGTTGGTACAGAGAATTATATGACTTGTAATCATAACCTCAACTGAAGTAAAATTTAAAATTATTAAGTATTTGTGTACGAGACGTGGAACTCGAAAAAATTTATTGTATTGGTGGATATAATAAGAGATGAGTCGGTTGGTGAAATACTTTAAAGAAATAGTACGAAGTTTTGTCTTTTTTAGAAAAAAATAATTATTTATCATCTATAGAGAAAATTATTAATTGACTTCGAAGTTGAGTCATTTATTTTAACAGTGAGTAGATCTGATCAAAAGAAATGTTTTTTCCTTTACCATTTTTCTGGTAAAATTAAAGTAACAAAGTTATAGCCCTTTGGAAGTTTGAGTACCGCCCTGTCTCAATAATAATAATATTATGTGCTCGTGTCTGGCAACAACGGATATAATCCGCCTTATCGGTTCATCGCATCGGAAACAAAGAAGCGAAAGAATTTGGAACGATGTTTTTACAATATTTATTCAGTTGTATACAGTCAGTATCAGTCGGTAACGCGTGAGTGAATAGTGGTGTCTGTTGCGTGGCTCAAACGAAATAAAAAATGGCACATGTTTATGCGGATCGGTTTCCCAATCGAGTGCAACCAACCCCTCGTGCCTTTGTTAATGTAGTACAAAGGGCTCGTGAATCAGGTGACTTAAGACCTCACAGGGGACGGCATGCCGGTGCTCCAAGACCTCACGATCAAATACAGGTCCGCACTGAAATACTTGTCGGGAGGATACTTTATAAAACAAGGTAACATTTTTTTTTATTTTTACACACATATTTGGTTTATCTTCCTTCTACAATCATTATCTGAAAATTAATGACTCAACTTCAAAGTCACCCTGTATATATGAAATAATAAAATGTATTTCTGGTTTTGCACATATGGTACCTGTCATGTCTGCATCTCTCTGTTGCTTTCGTCATGAACTTAAAACGTAAACAGCTCTAGTTTTTTCAGATCCGACGTCGATGATTTTTCACGTGTATAAATGCTCTTACCGAAAGTATTTTTTATTATTCTGCAACTTGTTCCCAGAAAAACTGCTGAAAGAGATACTACCCTTATTGGGGATGTTTCAAGAATATACGTTCCTGAAGTAATCCTTCAATGTTGGAATGAAAAAACGAAGTCCCCGGTATATTCCTTATTCCAAGTGAATTCTCGGCATTGCTACGAAAGTTCCTCCATATCTCCAGGCCATCTGACAAACGTCAACGGTGATGCCGTCGTTTAACATGCAGCTGCCATTTCTTCAGTCTAATGTTTTTTGGAGACATAGCCGGATTCTATTACGTCTCATCTTACCCGTTTGTTTCCGATTTTCATTAATAGTGCTTTGCGGCTTAAAGAAATGAACTGAATCGTGACCGTGTGAACAGTCCACGACCCTTGCCGGTTCACGTCTCCCTCCCCATTCCAACAAAGAGGCGCGAAACCAAAATTGAAAGCGTCAAACTGCAGGATTTTGGGTATAATTTTAGTAGTAGACCAAACTAACTTCGGCAATCAAAATAACTGGAAGCTCCCCCTAGACCACACTTTCGCCCCGTGTTCTAAATCTCGCATTGGAAAGACAGACTCCAAGTTCTTTGTTTTTCGCGAATATACTCTTCGAAGTGGTCAAAAACTAAAGTTTCAAAATTTTGAATGGACATTTAGCGGTAAATAGAACCCGGACTATGTCAAGACAGAAAACAAAATGTTTTTAAAAAAAGACGTCCTCGAAATGAATCTGATATCCGTTGTCACAATATCTCTTGTTCTTTCTGAAAATAATGATTAAAACGACACATTTCAGCCAATTTTATTTCTTTTCTCGTTCTCCATTTATGAAATGACGACAGCATATACAGGGTGTCCGCAAAGTTGGCGTTTTCCTTTTCAGAAACAAAAACCGTTGAAATAACAAAGGTAATGTTTAGTGGAACGAGGGCGACCAAGTAAAAAAATAAAGGAAAAAGTACTCACTCTCCAGTTGACGAGAAGGGCTAAGTACGTCTCTGCCCGAAATCATACCGCTCCAACAGAAAATGAAATCAGCTGAAGCGCTACCGAGCAGACGCAGAAACCACATTGATCGTCTAACACTTAATGGCGCATCTTCTAACAAGGAAGGCAAAATGATGCGTAAAAAGTCTAGGTATTGCATCCCGTCCAATCGATTTGTTGAAAATGTGCCCGACGGACAGCGTGCGGATTTTCTACTGACCAAACATGAGTGTTGCGAAAGTTATTCACCCCATTACGCGTGAACGTAGATTCGTCTGTCACCAATATGCACTTCAAAAAGTCCGGATTATTGTCATGTTGATGCAACAAAGACTCACAAAACCGCACTCTTGCTGGAAAATCGTCAGGTTGAAGGGCTTGTACAGTTGGACGTGAAACGGATACAGCCCCTCTTCACGCAGCGTTTGCCACACGTTAGTTTTTGATACTTGCACTTCTCTAGCCACGTCTCTAGTGCTTGTTGAGGGATTCTCGTCTACGCGATTACCTCTACACGCGTGACCGTAACCGTCGGTTGAAGGTTGCATACTGACCTGACACACTGACCCCGATCCAGTTCTGCCGTCGGGTTGAGACCTTGTACCAGTCGGGGATATCGTGGCGGGTCGCGGCTACAGGACGGTATTCAGATATTTTTGATGTTGCAGAGCCCTTTATCTCGGTTCCCTTAAGACATTGGTGTATATGGTACTAAGAAAAATTGCTTATGTTTTCAAGATCTACACGTCGTGTAAAGGAAAACCCCAACTTTGCGGACACCCTGTATAAATATGGATTACGTTCGACAATAAATGTTGCTTCAACCTTCATTAAAAATTCATTTTGATGTGTCAAGTCATTATCGAAACGTTGTGGATGCTGCTTCTAGATCCCTGTTTCATTCAGAAATTGGAACTTTAGTGTATTAAGGATTTAAGGTTTTGAATTAATTCACTCTTCTTTCTCGTAATTCTTTACTGCGTAATCAATATAGCATATTATTACAATACATCGTACACTTAACAACTGATTCATCAATTCGTTCGTTCTGATATTATTACCGAATATTATGTGTAATATACAGCTTTTTCCATTATTACATAACTTGAAAATTATATAATATATAATTATGAATCTTTTAGTTTTACATCCATGGATTTTTTCGCCATCTATGCAGCGATGAACTGATGGATTTGAATGGAATCTCAAACGCAACCGTGGGAAACCTGTAAAGAAGAGATAATTCCCTTGAACATTTCTGTAAAAAATGTGCAGACAACTTAATATGTACAACGTGTAAAACTTATATCGCCTACTAATGTTTCAGACTGTGGCTACGGATGTCTCGCACCCGCCTCAAAGCGGAAACTACCAACATAAACAGCGATTCGGAAGATTAGACAAGGCGACAACCAAATAACAACCCGAATTTTTTTCGCATTCTTTTCATCAAGCCAGATATCCTGGGCGAACTGTATCTATTGTTATACTTGTTTAGTTATTTGCTACCTTGGAATAGTGAAAGTTATTTTATTGATTCAGCTTTGACTTCCAAATTAAGTGCTTCATATCGACCACAATCTCCACGATCTTACTAATTTTTATAATCTAACGTTTTTAAATTGGGTAATTAACAAATAAATGACATTAATTTTTTCCTAGTTAAGCCAAAATGTGTAGTCAGTAAGTAAATTTCATTAAATTAAATATTTAAAACACACATGACAACTGCGCGTTGGCTTTCATCACTGTTATCGAACCGGCAATCGATCGCAAACGGTAACAGTGGTTAGTTATCGTTTTGTATAGATAAATGACTTTATCGTTTTGTCGAGCAGATCATCGGGCGTGTTGTTTTGTTTTTGTTCGCGTACGTCGTCGTGTTTATTTACAATGTTCTCGAGCCAAGAGTTCGTCGACACTTTAGTTTATAGTGAAGCTCGTCAGAATTCAAATCCAAATGGATTTGTTAATAAGCATAAATGCAGATATTGCAGCAATGAACATCCTCATGCCATTGTTCATTAATGGAAATTTGAATAGACATTTATTTGGATATATTGAAAAATACCATAAATCCGCCTATCACTGAAACCATTGTAAACCAATTCGAAGACGGCCTATAGAATGGCCTGCTAGATGAACATCCTGTATAATCAAACATTTTATGGCAAGATCTTTAAAGACGAGACTGATTGACGGCGAGACCGAAAAAACTTTTAACTTTTCTTAAAAATTCAATTTACTGCTCAATTAGGCTAGTTCTTTTCGAAGTTCGATATTACAATAAAAATAAGTACCTACGCTTCAGAAACGCCCTCGTAGACCCTCTTCAAGGTAGCGCCTTCCATAGCGTCCGACCTCACCGCCTTCTTCAGCTCTTTCAAAAACGACTCTTTCTCCTCGGCCATCTGATCTGGAGGATGGTTGTGAGGTTTGGTCACCTTCAACTGCTCGACGGTTCCGTTCACCGGGATCGTCGCTCTGCCTCTACAGCCGTTCTTCTTGTGCTCGGCGCACCCTAAGTAACTAACGGGGTAACTATTTTGAACCTTTCAGGCTGGTGGTATCGTAATATCGGCTTTTATTCAAAAGGATTAACACTTAACGGTATTTCGGAGAGGTACCTAATGTTTACATACAATGTTTTCAAAACGAAAATCTAAGCTAGATGGAGAGACAAACATTCGGATGACGTCATAATGCGTACGATAAAGAGCGCGCCCATACGTATTGTACGAGGGTAGTTTGAAAAGTTTCCGACCTAACCTTTTTTCAACAGTCTGTAACTCGTCCAAATAGTACTCGGCGTTTGAGAGAACAAAAATAAGTCGCTTGGGGCTAGATCTGGTAAGGCTGATGGCCATGCAGTTCAAACCGTAATTCGTGGATTTTGGCCATGGAAATCGCTCAGGTGTGAAGATGTGCCTTCAACTTGTCAAGTAATGATGCGTGGTATGCTTTCCTTTTCAAAGATAATAATCGATTAAAATGACTCCATGACGATCGCACATCAACTCACTCAAATGACTGTTACATAACTACTGCGCATCCAAAATGGCTGAAACTTTGGTGATTGACTGGCAACAGATGAACAACGAAATTCACTATACAACTATTTAAAACTGTAATGACTCATACGCGTGATCAACTCTTGATCAGAGCTCGATCCCGGCTTCCTTCCAGTACAGCCGTATAGCGTACGACATATGTCGTTTCTGTGGCTTTGCGGTGGTCAACAGCACAGACAGAGATGGAAATAATGGCTGATTGTTCTCCGCCGGTAGAACCAATGAAATCAAAGACGCGCCTCGACCGGCAGACTCATAGGCGTCGGCAACGCATTGGAACGTGTTTCGTTGAGCGATCGCATATTGTGTGTTTTTATAAGAATTGTTGTGTGATTGTTATTGTTGTGGTTTCTGTGGTTACTGTTTTGGTTATACTTAACCATGGAGAGTACAAATGGCACGAGTGGAAGTACTGAAAGCCAGGGAACAAGTAGACGGCTTCGTAAAGCACTGAAGAGGGACGCGAAAGAAATCGTGCTCAACGTGTTCAATTATCTGAACAGAACTATGTCGCAGGGAGACGCACTCACGCGTCGTGAAAGTATGACAGGCGTTCCAGAGTGGACCATTCGCAGGGTGGTGCATGAAAAGAAGAAAACTGGAGCTACTACTGATCCAAAGTTTAATTTGAAGGGACGAAAGGCCGTTAAATTGGATGACGATAGCAAAATGGCGTTAAGGCGAACCGTACATTCATTCTTGTTTAGGAATGAGATACCAACCCTCAAGGCTGTACATGCAGCGATCAAGGAAAATGAAATTATACCCCTAATGAGCGTCGAGGTAATGAGGAAATCCCTGCACGAAATTAATTTTCGTTACGAAACGCGTAATCGGAAGTCAGTATTGATAGAGAGACCTGAAATAGTCGCCTGGCGTCGAAAATACCTACGCGAAATGATTGAATATAGGCGACAAAGCAGAAAAATCTACTATTTGGACGAGACATGGGTAAATGCAGGTCACACAGTTAAAAAAAGACTTCCATACAGCTAGTAACGCCCGAAGCTTGGCAGAATGCTATCCGTCATGTTGTGGAGGAAGAAACAAAAATGTGGCAGCTTGACCACCACATCGACACCATCATAGAGCCAGTTATAGTCAATTTCAACGAGGAAAGCGATAGCGACAGTTTATTACTGTCAGATGTAAGTGGATGCGACGATGAATAAAGGTAATTCCAAAATTTTTGACTTACAATATGTTTCAAACCACTCTTTATTAAGCATGTGCCAAATCTAGTTCACCCATGTTAAACATTCATACCCCGCCTATGAACAGCCGACTACTGGTAGTTAAGTGATGTTCACGTGAACATCGACGAGTCATTACAGTTTTAGATAGTTATAGTATAGCTTTTATTTACGAGTACTGCCATCTTCACGTTGAGGTCGCTCGTACACATTACGACGTCAGTGGTATTTGGTTTCAAGTATATACAGGGTGTAGCGTAATAAGTCGATAACCTCTTTTCAATGGATATAACACGGGACGATATGATCGCAAGAGAATTAAAAATTAGTATTGTTAGTAAAAGGCCCTGGTATTAAAATTTTTGAGATATTTTTAAGCGATAATCAGCATAAAACGGGTGACTTAGTCCAGGAAGAATCTTAGCATCTGATCGTAATTTATTTTCATACTCAAAATGGAGGCACTTTCACGAAAATTAAGAATTGTTTATCATCTAAAAATCGGGACAGTTTCTTAGGTCTTTTGCGGCATTCTGAATCCGGTTTCGATGGTTGAGGTTTATGAACTTTTTCCAAAGTTGAGAACCCTCAAGATATGATCGACTTAATCTTTAAAAATGTTCAAAATGTGCCGTTTTCGGCAAAACAATGTGAAAGCACAACATGTTTAATGTTACCGAAGGTAGACGAGAGAGAGGTTATCTACGCATTATGCCCTTGGGCATCTGCAGGAGAATTTATCATAGAGGGCGATCATCGGTAAGAGATTTTTGTTAAAGTATACGTGCCCCTATAACAAATTTTGTCACGACGGGGAACTCGAGAATCCCAAAAATTGAATTAAACATGCAAGCAAAGGTTCAGACAGATCATTAGGGGGGGAGTACGCCCCCCTGGCACTGCCCTGCACGCGCCCATGATTACGCTATACCCTGTAGAAAAAACCAGGAAGGTGATTCTATATAAACCAAAACTGCCCAACCTTAAGGCGGCCAGCCACGACGTCAAAATTTTATTAACGATCCCAAATTGTCGATGAAACATCTTTCTTTCCAGATGACATATGTATCAAACATCTTTACGTCTCTTCAAAGCATTCAGAAAATAGATTTCCGATGACGGTGTGGCATTAATGATCGTGAATTTGACTGATGGTTGGGCAGCCTTGGTCTGTTTCTCATGTTTACGAAACATGTAAGTTAACATTATCTCAAAGATACGTTCTGAGGCATAGCAAATTTTTTCTAGGATAAGTTAGACGTAAATTATGAGGTTAAGGCTGCATACAATATATTTCATTCCTCATTTGTATATGTAGACTTTATAATCGTAAAATAACTACCCTGCATTTTTTATCGCTTTCATTTACCGTAATGGTGGATTGCCATGAACATTGTTGTTGTAATAAACAAATCCATGGTATATGTATTTCATTCTAGTCGTTATTCTTCTGCGAGGTTTATCATTGTCTGGCTGTCCAATCAAAATGTATTCTGTCTCTGCATCCTCATCTGATAAAAAAACGTAATTTGTAGCCTATATCTTCCCATCCATGCTCTTGCTAATTTAAAATTCTTATGTTCTATTATCGGTAATTTGTTATTGGAAATATCAAGATTTTTCTATATGGCGAATCTAAACAAGGAAATACTACCTACCCCAAAAAAATTTCTTGATCGAACCTAGTCATACAATATGCTTTTACTGATTCTGGAATTGTATTAATCGCGCCAAAAACTGAATCCATCCGATCTTATGAAACGATTTTTAAGAGCAACAACTTTAGCAAGCAGCTTTGCATATTCCTGTTGAATAACTGCATTATCCAACTTGAAAAGGTATATTTATTTTGCAGCATATATGTTGGTCAATGCGTCAACGGGTATGTTAAGAGTTAGAAACAGAGCTCAGTGGTGATTACTTGTGGATCCATACTTTCTAAAAATACGTATTGCACGTTTATCTCTCGTACACATTGTAACACGGCCAACCTCAATCTTAAATGATTTGCACTGTATATCAGTTACATATCTTTGCAATGTTTTGTATTTTTTACTATCCTCATGATGTATCTCTCGTTACTAATACTATCAGACTTCAGGGCACAAACATCTTGTTTTATTGAATGTATTTTGTCTGTAATGTACCTATTCGTTTTCAAAATTCCAGCATTATAAAGGGTTGTCGAATAGGGACGCAGGAAAGTAAACGTCAATTTGACATAGACGCCATATTTGTTTTCTGTCACCGACATGCCATTTTGTTAGTTGAATGTTTACCATTGATCGCTATGGAGTCGTATTCGATTGAAGACCGCATTAAAGTTATTCAAGAGCACTACAAAATTGGTGCAATAAAACACGTTTCGCGCGCGTCGTGAACATTTTGGTCGCAACAACCGCCCAAACGAAACAACCATCGGTCGTCTGGTGCGTAAATTCGAGGCAACTGGTTCTGTGGCAAATCTGCCAGGCTCTGGCCGGCCAAGGAGCGTTCGCACACCGGAAAATATTGCTGTTGTGAAGGAGAGTGTGAGAGACGATCCAAAACAACAACGCGTCGATCCCAGAATTGGCATTTCGAGAACCAGTTTGCTCCGCATTCTCCACAAGGATTTGAATGTACACGCCTACAAGATCCAATTGACGCAAGAGCTGCGTCGGGCCGACCATTTTTCGCGCCGAACGTTCTCAGATTGGCTCCTTGAACACCGCCAAATTGATGGCAATTTTCATCAAAAATCATGTTCAGCGACGAAGCGCATTTCATTTTGAATGGGACGGTAAACAAGCAAAACTGCCGCATCTGGGCGAACGAAAATCCCCGTGAGTATCAAGAGCAGCCGATGCATCCTCAAAAAGTGACTGTGTGGTGTGCATTGTGGTCAAAAGGCATCATCGGACCTTACTTTTTCGAAAGTGCGGCCGGGGACGCCGTTACCGTCAATTCTGAGCGATATCAGTGATGATAGACGACTATTTTTTGCCGCAACTTGAAGGAATGGATATGGACGATGTTTATTTCCAACAAGATTGTGCAACATGCCACACAACCAACGTCCAATATCCATCGATTGCAGTCCTTCTTCGGTGATCGCGTGATTTCGCGCAGAGGAAATGTGCCATGGCCATCAAGATCGTGCGATTTGACTCCCTTGGACTTCTTTTTATGGGATATTTGAAAAGCAAAATCTACGTCAACAAACCAGCCACCCTCCAAGACTCAAAAACAACATCATTGCCGAGATAAATGCCATAGAACCGACCATGTTGCAAAATGTCATTGAAAATTTCGACCATCGCGTGGACGTCTGTAAATCCAGTCGTGGTGAACATTTGAGCGATATTATTTTTCATACATAAATGGTATAAATGAACCTTCAAAATAAAGTACCCAACTTGATTTGAATATAAATCTTTCTTGTTTTAATATGCGTTTACTTTCCTGCGTCCCTTTTGGACAACCCCATACATATATGCCTACATTAATCGACTGTTCTATAACATTGTAATAGTAATGTCGCCTGAATAATTCCTTGTGAATTTGAAATAGCCTTGCAATGTGTAGATGAATACACCTGTCAAATCAGGAATTCTTGACAAAATTGCACGCATCTCGGAAATGTCGAAAGTGTAACAATTGCAATATTGTCGGAAAGACTAGCTTAGATACTCTAGATAAATAAGAATCTGTTTTGTGACGAGCAATATTTGCAAGGTTACTGTGCATCAGTGGTCTTCCAACGGCAAAACTTTACAAGAATCAGAATTTGAACATTGACGAGTGAAGAAGTGCATAAAAACTTGAGTAATGCAACGATGAATGTTTCAAAACAGAATGACAGATAAAGATCGAACTATGCTTTTGAAAAAAAAAAATTTACGTACACCTCAATGCTCGATATGGATTCTAGTCCATCAATTTTGATTCTTTACGAACGACAAATCCTCTTGCATTTCGTGACGATTTAAGACAATGATCTTACTGTTTGCACTGCATAATGCGAGTAACGATGATAAAAAATGACGTAATTGTCCAAATGTCCCTCTTCAAATTGAGCTTTCTATGACAACAAGCAATAGACTTCGAAGTTGAGTCATTTATTTTAACAGTGAGTAGATCTGATCAAAAGAAATGTTTTTTTCCTTTACCATTTTTCTGGTAAAATTAAAGTAACAAAGTTATAGCCCTTTGGAAGTTTGAGTATCGCCCTGTCTCAATAATATTATGTGCTTGTGTTTGGCGACAACGGATATAATCCGCCTTATCGGTTCATCGCATCGGAAACAAAAAAACGAAAGAATTTGGAACGATGTTTTTACAATTATTTTATTCATTTGTATACAGTCAGTGTCAGTCGGTAACGCGTGAATGAATAGTGGTATCTGTTGCGTGGCTCAAACGAAATAAAAAATGGCACATGTTTATGCGGATCGGTTTCCCAATCGAGTGCAACCAACCCCTCGTGCCTTTGTTAATGTAGTACAACGGGCTCGTGAATCAGGTGACGGCATGCCGGTGCTCCAAGACCTCACGATCAAATACAGGTCCGCACTGAAATACTTGTCGGGAGGATACTTTATAAAACAAGGTAATTTTTTTTTTATTTTTACACACATATTTTGGTTTATCTTCCTTCTACAATCATTATCTGAAAATTAATGACTCAACTTCAAAGTCTACCCTATTTGACGAGTATCCATCACGCTTTGGCGTCTACCGGTAACGGCTGATCAGCAAGTGACATTGTGTTAGTCTGGGACGTTGACAATGATGAATCGGGTGTAAATCGAGTAAACCCCGTTTGTAGCGTTTTGTTTTTTGTATGCAAATGAAATTTTCTAAATAAAGAGCTGTATGCAAGTACAAAATGAATCTTTAGCGTACAGCAAAACAAATACGGTTTGACTACCTGTCGTTGACGGATACGTCAGAATTATGTGTTCTGTGCCGATGTGGGGAATTCCGAGATAGTACTAGATTATCAGCTGTCATTCTACCATGAAACAGGGTATATCTATATGAACTAAACTATTAATAAAAACAGGAATATCCGATCTCAATGGTTGGTAAACATTCCCCTACGTTTGACTAGTTAAGGACCTTGTACAACAAATACCCAGCATATAACGCTTTTCCAAATTCAACTAACTTTTAACCGTCTTCCACCTTCCAATAAGACAAATGTCAATGATATCTTTTATTGAAAAACTCCATATTACAATACGTTCATTGCCTTCTTGTACTGCATTCTTCTGCATCTCCTCCTGAGCCTTATAGATGAAGGCCCGCCATCTTCTCATCGAAGGATGCATCTTGACGTAAGGGCATACCAACGCGCCCTCTGGATACCTTCAGCGAAACCACAAAACTCGTCAGTGACCACAGCCGACCAATGATAGTTCAGTTTTCGTGCCGCTCTTCATACCGAAATACAACTAGACGATAATTCTTGCTAAGAAAGTTGCATTTTTGCGTCTTGTAGTATCGAATTTAAGGCAGCAAATACGTGACTATTTTGGGCTACTTTTTGTAATCTGAATCAAGATTACGTTATGCAACAATCAAAACATTTTATTTATCCAGTATCTTTTTTTGTTACAACACTCGATATCTCTTAGCAGTGTGTTGTACGAGTCGTCTGCAATAATTGTATCAAAATATTACCGAGGGCAACGAATGCAAAGAACTACCATTTCAGGTGAATCGGATTCCGGGGGTTTCTTTTTTTTTACGTCTAATGGTACTCTACTAATTACTTTTGAGTTATGTGGTATCGATATGCATCGTTTCACCAACAGAAAATGACAGTATCGTCACATATAAATAGAAAAACAATATGACATCCTCGCAATCAATATTTAAAACACAATACCAAGTGTAACATAATGCAAAAAATTGTAAACTATAATCATTCAAGATGTCATCTGTCATTTCTTCCTAGTGAAAGGAATATATTTGGCTCATACTTAGACTTCCTTCTACAAATCTATATGTGATATTCCTCTCATCACAGTAGATGATCAATTGTTTTATCAACAGCAAATCCTGGTTCTCTTTTACAAAAATGCTAATCGTTAAGACCGAGATCCAGAAGAGCAATGTCAGACTAGGTACAATAAGGAAGATACACTTCCGAACTATGAATTTTACAAAAAATCCGACCAAACGAAATAGAAATTTATTCGTTCCTCACTGCAACCATCTGAAACTGCTCCAAGTCGAACGCTAAATAGTACGTACCAGTGGACGGCGAGATCGTAGATATCCCTCAAGGGCATGTCGGTCTTTTCGGCAATCAGCTTCTTCAGCATATTCACGAACGTCTTCTTGATCATGACGTCTTCCATCGGAGGATGGTTGTGTTGTTTCTTCAACACCAGATCATCGGCTGTACCTCCAGGAGGTATGAGAGCTCTAGCTCTGCACGTCAAGCTTTTATATCGGCGCAGATCAAGTATCTATACCGATACCCGCAAAAACGTCAGATCATCCTTATTATACTTTATTCAAAAAGATCTTTTCTCTTCATCCTCACTTTCTTATCGCAATAATTCCAAAATGCTCCAGAACAAATATCTCATTTTTTTTTACGCTGCGCAGTCGACATTTTCTCTGATCGTATAGAACGTTTTGTAATCATAACTGGATTACATAACATTTTATATTATAATACCTATACTACATCCAAAAAGTTCGCAATGCGCTCATTTTAAACCTAAGCGATAAGTAAAGATTTTCTACATTTTTAACAATCATGATACGCCTTCAGAAATTTGAAACATAATAGGCAAAATATTTTACAAAGATAATGAATATCATCTCAACACGTAATGATCGGCATTAAATCACTAACAGTCAGTAATGGCTTCTGGTTCCAATTTTACAATCAGAATTGACATCAATATTCAGTCGCCAAAAATGCAACGTGAAACAAGACAATGCCCATTTAAAATTGGAACATAAATAATGCATAAAATGTACGGAAAATGTTTGTCCTACAAAAACTACAATCATACATTTCGCATAATCAACCATACAACCAAATTCAAACATCAATCAAATCATTCAAGTACTCATCAGACATCAAAACTACAACGTATTTCCATTCCTGATTTGAAGAACCCGACATTTTCCATACGCAATTTTTTTCAATATAATTGACATGCCATTACTTTAGGGTTACCTGCCGTCAAAACATGTC